GTGTCGCTGATGACGTCCACTCAAAAAGGACGCTTGATGGCGGCAACTACTAGTATGGTGGATATTTATCTGCTCTTAGTTGAACGGGAACGTGCCTTGCTCGCTGATGTATAGCATCGATGGTAGCTATCGGTTACATGCAACAGTGTGCCCCCCGTATTGTGGCCCTATCAATTACGTTTGAGGATTATTATGTACAGCCTTAGCCATCGGAAGTGCCACAATTCATCAGTGACCGCGTGCTATATGCCAAGATAATAGCGTGGGGTAGAGAACTCCTTGAAAGCAGCCAATGTTAACGATTCTTTTTATCATATCATTGATCACGTGGTTGTATAATCACATGCCGCGTTACATGTTACATGCAAGCAATGAAAAAGGCAAGTAGGCGGTTATGGAACGAAGATGGAAAGATGCTGGGCTCAAGTGCTTTTACAACCATGGTGATGATGAGCAACCAGTTTACAGAGGCGTCTTTTTGATTTCATACTGCAGCACCCATGCCACGCAACCCATGTCGACCATTTTCAGCTCTTCATCCACCTACGATACACATCCGGCATTGTCGACATTCCTGAATCACTATAGCTGTGACACGACAACCATATCAGTATACAAAGGACACAAAGGTAAGTCTACATTTACGCTCTATTAACACGGTTCTCACCTTTATGGACACCCGCTACCACACAAAGTTTTCGAATAAGCTGTTCGCAATTTCGAATTACGACCGTATTGGTATCGAGTCTGGATAGAACTAAGCAAGCAGAAGCTGAGTACATGGCGTACCTTTTTGATGCACATAAATGAATGACCCATCTCCATGAACCTTTCTACACAGGGCCCCACCCACCATCTCTCGCGCCTAGCCGCTTCCATAGCAACGCACATGGTTACTATCGCTATTTGTGGATCAATGATTGCTTATTTCATATATAAAAACTACGACATTTAAAAGAGAAGGCTATGTGGTTATAGACGTTGTATTATTTATAGAAGAAGATGACCATAATAGATGCTTTTGTATAAGAAAAGCTTTATTTTTAATACAAGTAAACAACTAGCTGTGCCAATTCTTAGCCCATCTCCATGGCGATGGTTTCCAGGTGCGACCACGAGGAGGTGATTGGCAATCCACACCCGTAGTTTAACGTCATTTCGGACGGATTAGTTTAACGTCGTTATCAGGACGCAAGTTAACGTCATTGAAGACGACCAATTTATAGTCGTGGTCAGACTACCCACCCACACAACCAATACCCATACCTCTTTATCCCCTCTTCTTTTTCTCCCCCTCCCATTCACATACCCCAATAGTCCTCTTTATCCCCTCTTCTTTTTTCTTCACCTCCCCTCTTCTTCACCACTCATTCACCTACCTGTGCAAAAGAAACTTACCTTTGAAGACCGTTGAAGGAGTGGAAAGAAAGATAATTTGGAGTTGGGGAAAAAAGACCTCTCTTTTATACCAAAGTGGGTTGCGCAACACCTTAGACGCGTAAGCGTTCGTGTCACCCGAAACCTTATCCACTTTCTTACTTTTTGTATAATCTTCATATCTCATTTACTTCAAACCTTTCAATTGAACCTGTTTTTGGCCGTTAGAAAAATGTGTTCCACTCATCGAGACGATTCGAATGGTATATTGTTTGCCATGACTTTGTTTACTTTTGTCCATATGAACATTGCTATGGTTACGTAGTACAATTTCCTTTTTGGGTCGCGGTTTCAGGTCTCGGGCCGAGCTCTTTCGAACCACTGCTACAGGCCATAGCGCGTTGATTTTCGAGTAAACCTCACTTGTGGTAATAGAAAAACATGTTCCTCTCGATGAGACGAGCCTAACGGTATGGTGTTTGTATAGGTTTGAAAGTAGTGAACTTATTAGGTGTTGATGCACAGCACTGTTTCAGCCATTTAGGATATAAAAATCTATCATACGAATAGCATACCGTTATGCTCGTATCATCGAGACGAACACATTTTTCTATTACCACAAATGAGGTTTACTTGAGAACCAACGAGTTATACCCTGTGGCAGTGGTTCGAAAGAGTTCGGCCCGAGATCTGAAACCGTGACCCAAAAAGGAAATTGTACTACGTGACCATGGCAATGTTCAAATTGACAAAAGTAAACAAAACCATCACAAACAATATACCGTTCGCATCGTCTCGATGAGAGGAACACGTTTTTCTAAGAGCAAAAAGCAGGTTGGATTGAAAGGTTTTGAGTAAATGGGATACGAAGATTTTAGCAAGTTGGCCAAGTTTCGTGTGACACAAAGGCTTACGCGTCTAAGGTGCTGTGGCAACCCACTTTGGTATAAAAAAGAAGCCCTTTCTCCCCAACTCCAAAGTATCTCTCTTTCACTCTAGGATTCCCGGACAAGACCGCAAGTATGGCTCGCTAGGTCCTATAAACAAGCGTCACGAAACACGGTATCCAGGTTAGCTGGGGGAGGGGATTCGGGGTACTCACGAAACCAGCAAGACACCCACGAATCGAAAGGGTTACGAAACTGCAAGGTCACGAAACACGGAAACACTTTACACTAGTACCCCAATCAACTCGACCCAGCCAAACCTGAGCAAGAGTCCGCAATGACAAAAAATAGGGTGTGGATTGCCAATCACCTCCACGTGGTCACACCTGGAAACCATCTCCATGGAGATGGGCTAAGCATTGGCACAAGTAGTCATTTCTTTTTCATAATAAAGGTCTTCTTATATTCAAAACAAAGCATTCTTTTATATGGCTATAGGCTTCTCTTATATATCGAGCGCCTTCATTAATAAAAAGGTGTTCATTCAAAGTCTCCTTAACACGGTGCACTGGCAATACGTGTAGTAGGTGGGTGATTAGGCTCTACCTTTAGTGTCTGCTGGTACGCGGTGTGACGGTGGTAGGGGGTACATACATGTGTGTGTTTAAGGCAAGGAGAAATTTACATCTTGCTTTCAATCCTTTTACGAACGTGTACCCACCATTTACAAAAGTTGGAGGTCACTCAAAATCTCATAATGCTACATGAGGTCTTTCATAGAACCAGCATGCTGAGCATGGTCAAAAGTGTCTTGTTTGAAAGTATCAAGCTCGAACTCGTCAATAGCAATTTCCGCATTTGTTGTTGTCAGCCAAAAAGTTTCTGGAGGTCGACCTGATTTCATTTTGGCGGGTGGTGACCCTGGCCAAATTTGAGATTGATGAGTTCGATCCTGAAACTGGCACACAAGGTTGCTTGAGCTGGGCTGACCACGGTGGTTGCAAAAAGAGCCCATGCTTCATTGACAGCTTTCGAGTGATGAATGGCTCTCTTTATGCTGTAAACATGATGCTCTATGACAAAGTCATCTTTTTCCATTGTCACCCATATAACCACTTATAGTGCAAAAGCTGCACGAGGCCGTGTTTGGGTAAGAAAGCAAAGAAAACAGCATTGAAATAGCAATGGATCATATGTATACGCTCTCTCCCGGTCATGCATACATTACAGGCTATTAGCCAATTAGACCCAATCCAGCCCATTGTGGATCTGACAACATATGAAAAATGCACCGGCTCCAAAGATCCATTTCCTATATGCAGGTGTCTTGATCCGAGCCGATTTGAGGAAAATACGGCCACGTAATGGTTACATCGGTTCCAACATGCAACGTGCATGGATGTATGCAGTAGTCAAAACCTGGTCTAAGCGTAGCTCATCCAAATCGGCTCGGATCAAGATAATTGAATGATGGAAATGTTGGGCTGGAGCAGGCGCCTTTTTCCTACGTTATCAAATTCACAATGGGCTAGATTGGGTGGAATTGGCTAACAGCTTGCAATGCATGAATGACTGTGAGACAGCGTATACATATCATCCATTGCTCTTTAATCCTTTTTTCGTCGCTTTGATATACAAACACCGTCCTTAGCACCTATCGCACTATAAATGTACATATGAGTCACAATTGAAAAAGACCCACCTTTATAATAGCAAAACATACACGCACCTGTAACTCAAAACCTTTCAATGAATCATGGCCTCTTTTTGGTACCAGCATGCTCAGCATAGTCGAAACTACCTTGTGTGAAAGTTTCAGGATCGAACTCGTCAATAGCAATTTTTGGATTTGTGGATGCTAGCCAAAAAAGTTTCTGGAGGTCGACCTGATTTCATTTTGGCGGGTGGTAACATGGCCAAATTTGAGATTGACGAGTTCGATCCTGAAACTGGCACACAAGGTTGCTTGAGCTAGGCTGAGCATGTTGGTTGCAAAAGGAGCCCACGCTTCATTGAAAGATTTCGCGTTACAGGTGGTGTATGTTTTGCAAAGCCGCAGCTATTATAAAAGTCATCTTTTTCAATTGTCACTCATATAACCACTTATAGTGCAATAGCTGCACAAGGCCGTGTTTGGATAAGAAAGCAAAGAAAACAGGATTAAAAGAGCAATGGATGATATGTATACGCCATGTCACAGTCATTCATACAGTGCTAGCCATTAGTCAATTCCACCCAATCAAGACCATCATCGATTTGATAACGTATGAGAAATGCACCTGCTCCAAAGATTCACTTTGATGGTTTCATTAGATTGTTCCGAGCCGATTTGAGGAAATTACAGCAAGTAAGGCGTATATCGCTTCCAACATGCAACATATACAGATGTATGCAGTAGACAAAACCTGGTCTAAGCGTAGCTCATGCAAATCGGCTCGGATCAAGATAGGTGAATGATGGAAATGTTGGGCTGGAGCAGAAGCATTCACCACACGTTGTCAAATCCACAATGGGCTCAATTGGATGGAATTGGCTTATAGCTCGCAGTGTATGAATGACCGTGATACAGTGTAGCCATATCATCCATTGCTCTTTTAATCCTTTTTTCTTGGCTTACGTATACAAACACCATCTTTCGCACCTATCTCACTATAAATCTACATATGAGTCACAATTGAAAAAGACCCACCTTGCTAGTAGCAAAACATACACGCAGCTGTAACACAAAATCTCACAATGCTACATGAGCTCTTTTTGACACCAGCATGCTCAGCATGGCCCAAAGTACCTTGTGTGAAAGTTTCAGGATCGAACTCGTCAATAGCAATTTTTGCATTTGTCGATCCAACCCAAAAAGTTTCAAGAGGTCGACCGGATTTCATTTTGGCGGGTGGTGACATGGCCAAATTTGACATTCACGAGTTCAAGCCTCAAACTGGCACACAAGGTTGCTTGAGATGGGATGAACGCGTTGGTCCCAAAAAGAGCTCATGCTTCATTGTGACATTTTGAGTTATGGCTCTCTTTATGTTGTAGACATGATACCATATGAAAAGTGGTCTTTGTTCTTTCCCAATCGTCTCATTCATACTGTAATAGAGCGGAAGCGGCAGCGTGAGCTGCTTGTATTAGAAAGGCAAGCGCAATCGATCACGATTGATAAGGATCACGAGCCTATAGAACTTGCAATTGAAGTACCAACAATAACAACCCCAACTTGAAACAAGATTGAACACACACACAACACCATTACTACCGCGTTTGCCTTTTATTTATACAGCTTTCCATATCAATAATACTATTATCCTCCTGCATGCTATGTAACGTGTTTCATCCTCGGTCTAGGAATCTTGCTTTTATATGTTGTACCTTATATAGATGGGTGCCCCATCATTCATTCGGGCACCTCTTGAAAGGCAACAATAGTAAAGCATGTTGCCATGGAGAGGTTGGTTCCGTGGGCTGCGATAGCGGTGTGTATGGTGCATGCATGTATCATTGGCAGTGGCTGATTTCCATGTGTTTGTGCCAAAAGGGTGATTTTGTCTGCTCAGCTTCTCCTTGCTGCTTCTTACCCAGACCTCACAAGAGCACAATCGTGGTTCGACATGGAGTCCCTCATTAGCCACCGACATGTGCAAAAGGGTGTCAACGAAGGTATGTAACGTGTTAATACAGTGTAAAAACCGACTTGCCTTTGTTCGTTGTGTATACTGATAGGCGTGTGTTTTTACAGCTTTCCTGTTCCAGGAATGTCGACAATTTCAGGATTGAGAGAGGAATGTGGAAAGAGATTCTGTTCACGAAGGGCAAATGTTGCACTGGTGATGGGGTAAGCAAGATGACGTGAAACGTGCGCGGCAAAGGGGTTCATTGGTGTGCTCAATAGGCGTGTTTCTTGTACTCAATAGCAGCAACTTTTATCCCGCGATTGGATCACGTGATGCAAAAGCAACAACCGAGCATGGGAAGATCTTTCAACTTTTTCGAGATGGTATGTACAAAGAACAGTGATACTGCATGCAAGGGAGTGGACCATGGGAAGATGATTAATGGATTAAAGCAGGGTCCTCACGAATTGTCGCCATCATTGAACTTGCTCATTCCTGGTGATGTGGATGCATTGGATGGGATGGTACCAAGCATGGTATGTGCACTGTAACAATGCAAGGCGTAATGCTGATACGTTTGCTCTTCTTGGAAGGTGCCTCAACACCATGCAGCAACGCAACGGGTAACATTTCTCGTATCGGACCATGGTGATAGCCGGTGTGTTTGGATATACTTTTTCATTGGTGACTCTTTCCGGTAATGTGTGTTCACGTGCATTGGATTTTGCTTCTCAAGTACTAAGGCATGCCTATCTAGTAAGTCGCTTTTGTGGGTCTTTATGGTGGTTCGATTGGGCACGCATTTTTCATGCTTTGCATGCACAAAGGCATTGGTACGTGGAATACATCAGGAGGGATTGCTTGCAAAGCAAACATTGGTTACTATTTTAAGCTGCTTACTGTATCGTCATCTTTTTCATGGTCCATCTCTTGTAGGATCAACACTGGATTGGTTATTGAATCGGATTGTTTCAGCGCAAGGGATCCACCAAAGAATAATGGCAAGCACCAATGATACCCTTTAGTCATCCAAGTCCTATGTTGTCGAACCTTCGTATTCCTTCATGTCTTTGCCATCAATGTATTCCATGACCATTCCTGCAAATACTGCACATGTCGCGATTGTACATCGTATATATGGAGCGGATCAAATCCAGCATCGTGATGTTCCTTTGGGTGAATGAGGGAGGTTGGATGATGGGAATTTTGGGATATTGGTGTTTACGGAGGATGCAGGAGGTATACGTTGACGTCATCCGGGATCCTATACGCGTTCAGTCAAGTCAGCAGGGAAACAGTATCAGCTTTTGGGATTGAATAGTGACGAATGAGCCGGTCAAGATGCAGCAAGCACAGCATGTGGACCGTACCTATGCAACGTGGCGTGGCGATTTACTGGAACCTATCTATTTGACAGAAGAGTTACCGCTGGCAGCAATTACATTGATTGTATTGGGATTGGATGAGGATGGTACGTATGTACAGGATGTGCTTGGATATCATCTTGCTATATGGTTGCTGATGGAGCTCTTTTCGGTGGCATTGAGATGTATGTGTATGTGTGTGTGTATGTGTGTATGATAAGACGTATAACAAACAAAGTCTATGAGATTTCTGTTTACTCTGAAAGTGTGTGGCTGGGAAAAGAGACATCTTTCTATCGATCTACCTCTGAGTACTATAAATAGGTGAATGCTAAAGAATAAAGCTTTTCTACCAATAACAAGCTATATCGTAAATGAGTAACGAGCTGAGCTGTATATGATGATCCACACTTGTGCATCATCTCATGTATGCTTATGTGCTTGTCTTTTCTATATACAATGATAAAGATGATGATAATGAATACATCATGTGTACCGTAACCGATTCATAAGCACGACATGAGCCAATGATGGCGAACCACAAAATTAGCCTCTGTAACTAAGCAAGAGGTTGCTTTTCTACATTTGCTGTCATCATAAAAAGGGGGCGTATACCATCACTGATCTGATAGAAACATGCAGGATATGATATGGTGGTAACACCTCTAAGCATTTAGTACACATAAAGGGTTGATAGATGATTGACCAAAGGGGTATTTTATTTATGTTATTTGTTTGATATCATGGGATTATGTAATCTATTTTGCTTTATACCTTTCCCCTGCACGCTCATTCACAACCTTGGTAATATTTCTTCTCAAAAGGTCAACGATGTAGTCCTTGATGGGTGCATTAAAGATGAACCGGTTGAGCTTGGGGATGGTCAAAACACTCATAATGTCACTATCGGAGATGAAGGGTGCATCGAGACATAAACCTTCAAGCGTGGGATGATCTTTCAATAAGGCAACGGTTCCATCAGGCATATCATAAGGGTCGCAATTCAGCTCGAGGTAGGTAAGAGAAGGGCATCCTTTTGCAATCATTTCAATAATGGAAACGTAATCATCAGGCATCTCGAATACTGATATCACCAAGGTTTCCAAGTTTGGTAACTCTGCCATCGCACACACCCAAGGGGATTCCCAGGTCATCTCATCAAATTCAATTTTCAGGTGCTTGAGAGGTGAATGACTGCCAAGATTCACATGGTGCTGGAAACAATTGTAAAGGGATGGCGAATCGGGGTGAATCTTTTCTGCAGCAAGGCGTCGCAAATGGGGAAGTGTCTTTATCAAATCAAAGATGTCTTGGTCATCACCTGTACGAATTCCAATATTGATGCTGCGAAGGTGAGGTGCTCGACGTATGATAGATGCCGCAAGTTCAACAAATTCATCATTGACAGCATCCACTTCGATATCTTCCAATCGTTCAAATTCAACTTCCTCATCCAGTGAAACGCGTCCTTGTTGCAAGTTGCCTCCCAAAATGACTTGATTCAGTGAGCGATGGTTTCGAAGCAATAATTGAATCAACCCCTCTGCATCGTATGGTTCTTGCTCATCTCCATCACCAACCGAAAGCTTTTCCAACCCATTCTGATTCTGATACTTGCATTGGAAATACGAATCTCCACCGCATGTAAAAAGCTTGAGTTTGGGACAATGGTGCTGGATACGGGTAATAAATTGCGTGTCTTCTGGCATAGGAGATACAACAACCGACAAGAGGGATGGAAACTTTGCGAGCGTATCATTGATCACCGTGCTTGTAAATGGACACATATAAGTGCTGCGCATGTTGAGGTGCTTTAACGTGCGATATTGTACTGATGGCGGTTGTATATCGACATGAATGACTTCCAGCGATACAAGATTTGCGCACACATCCCACACGCAATTCAAATCGGCACCAAAAGGTAGGTCATCAATGTTGTATACTTCGAGATGAGTGAGTGTACGGCCGATAGATTCAAGAATGTCGATGAGAGTGTCTTCCTCGTTGCCTTTATATAAACGTGATTTGTTATATATATGCATGTAACGTCGTAGTAGGGTGGTAGTTGACTTACAGTAGATTGACAAATGAGTCAAGTGAATGAAATCCAAATCATTGAAAATGGCACAAAGACGTAGCTTTGGTTTCTTCTCGTCCCAATCACCAACGGTCAATGACTTAACATGCGGGGCAAACTTGATCAGCTGGTTGCCATCTGGATGGGGCATGCCATCGCTACGAGGGATATCAAATCTCAAGTCGTTACGTTGCAAGATCCGTTGTTGCCATGTGCGTGAAACATAAAGATACGGGCATCGGGTATGTGGTGATAACTTGTAGTTGTGAAATACCAGAGGCAAGGTGGTTGATACAACAAGATCCAGAGGTAGTTGACTGATAAAATCGATACGTTTGTTTGATGCACTCAATGCATGAGCATGCTGCTTTTGCAGGTTGGTGTAACCATCATCGGATGATGGCACGTTGGCAATTCCTTCCTCATACATGGCTGCTGCTTCTTTTCGTCGTCCTTGTTGCTGATAAATGGTGCCTGCTTTCAGGTAGCCAATAGAAGAAGTTGGGTTCAGAAGTCGCATGAAGGCTGCATCGCGCAAGGCAAGATCAAAGTTGGCTCCATTCGCTAATGCCGTCGAACGCTCATTGAGATTCTCTATGAATCGACATGTGAGTTGGTTGATCTCTTTTGTTGCTGCTGAAATGATATTTTTTCCTTGTCCATAATAGCAAGTGATTGCTGGTAGCGTGAGAATGGTGGTATCATGCATTTGGGTCATGATGATGAAATGTATTGGGTAAAGGCAAAGGAGATGATTCTTTTCTGTCCACGCGTCTGAAATGTATATTTCGCGTCCCGCTGATTTTGAAAGTTGGAGGATGCAGAGTGCTAGATACTTTCGATAGGATGAATAAATGTTGGCAGCAGCATAGGATGATGATGCAGCTGTTGTGTAACAAACATCATATCACATATGATAATTCATGACATGAATCCCCTTTGTTGCCTATGCTTTACAAGCTGGGACACCTACCTTGTCAACACACGAGAAAAGACAACCAGCACTAGTATGAGTTATGAAATGACAACAAGGAGCGATTTCGTATCGTTAACCACCTTACATGTACATAGCAAGATGTACATTGATATTAGCTGCCACTACAAGGTGTGGTGAATTGGAATAATAAAGCTTCCATCGTTTAAATGTATCATAGCGCAATCAGATGATTGCATTTATGGAGCAAGAGAGATTTTTTCTGGATATCAAAGAGGTTTATTCTACCGTTGATGGGGATAATGACAGTGTACGTAATCTAAGAGATTAAAAGCGTGTGAACATTGCATCGACTATAACCTCCATGTCATGCCGTTGGGTCTTGAGGTAGCGAATCTTATCGATGTCCATTTTATTTTCAGGGTAAATCCGGATACACTCAAGCAGTGATAAATCTTGGATCGCTTCCCAAAACTCGTCGGCATCGTCGGTGCTGTTTTCGACTGAAAAATTAAACTGCTTGAACCCTTCCAGTTGCTTCAAAGCATTGATGGAATCAATCGATAGCGCGTTGGGGTGGTCTATCTCAAGACATGCTAAGCGAGGACATCCTTTGGCAAGGCCGTTATAAAAACTTTCCATATCATAGGGGTCCCAGTCAAAGTACGTAGTAAAATAGAGCATCAAGCGCTGTAGGTGATCAAGACGAGGGATAGCATCAAACACCGGTTCGATGTCGTACACATCTATGCAACGGATATCAAGTTCACAAAATGCCGATTGCTGATTCATGCGAGAGAGATAGTTCACGAGTATTGAGGGGTCTTCAGGACCTTGTTCACGACCAAGATCCAACACCAGTTTCTTCACATTGGGGTGTATGATATCAAGGACTTGAGGGCATTTGTTGATCATTATCCACGAGATTGTCAATTCCTCAAGATGTGGTGCGTTGCGTGGTATCCACCATCCAGAGTTTACGAGGGAGAGCTTCTTTAGTCGTGGGTATTGGATATCATGCGTGTGTTTGACGTCGCTGTCATGGTATACTTCCCATCTCATATTCTCGAGTGTCGTGTGGTGCTGCTTTAGAAAAGAATCGATCGTCGTCAATGAACCAGGTACTTGACAATGCGCCGTGACAAAAAGTTTGGTGATCCCGTCACATCCATCATACCCCTCGTTGGTAAATTGACATTCAATGCCGGAACTATCAACGTAGAGTCTGAGGCGTTTCATCCAGGGGAAATAGTGAGGGACCAAATGAAGCGCTTCGATGTCTCCGCAAGGATGAAGCTCGAGCGTCGTGAGCGATGGAAAACGTTTACAAATGCCAATGATGTCATCACGTGTGATCTCCTTCTCTGCCCTGTAAATGGTGAATGTCGTCAACTTTGGCCATGTTGCCATTGGAAGGGCACTGAGATCCGCATGTCCTCTGTATTTTATCCGAAGCGAAACAAGATTGGGAAGAGCCAACACGACCTTAGGTATGGAGAGTCGCATGGGTGGGTATACGGCCATGATATCGAAATACGTCAAGGTATTGCTGACTGATTTGAAGGAAGAGACAAAGTCATCAATGCTACCCTCGTCTAAACATTCTATATAGGGAAAGCACATGTAAGTAAAGGGGAGCCCAAAGGATGAGATGCAACAATAACTTACCCATAACGGATAACTTTTGCAATGAGCAATAGTCATTCTCGCGTAATAAATCACCAAGCCATGTTCCTTGATCATTGTGGTAAACCGTTAATGACCTTGTATGCTGAGCGAATTGGGTGATTTCTGAAAGCGTTTCCTGTCCTGGTTCTTCTTTAATATCATCAAGCTTGAACCACAATCCATCGAAACATTGAATGATGCGATCGCGCCATACATTGGATACATGCAAATAAGGGGATGGATATAATGGATCCAAAGGAAACGAACTCAACAAGGGAATCAAGAGGGGAATAAGCTTTGTAATAACAATGTCGACAGGTAGCTCCTTCACGAAATCAATCCGTTTTTCCAGATGTTGCTCAGCATCAGCCTTCATTTGCTGCAATGTATCGTAATGCGTATCATTGGTATCGATCATACTGAGTCCTTCGTCACAAATATCAATAACGTCAAGCTGTTGACCAAGTTCACTGTAAATGCTGGCTTCGCGTATGTATCCGAGAGGTGAAGAAGACGAGAGTTGCTGCATAAGTTTGACATCGCGAAGAGCAGCATCAAAGTTGGCACACTTTGTGAACCCAATGGCACGTAGATTCAGAGCTGACAAGATGGGGTCAAGGGATGCATGGAGTTGTGTGGTTGCATCGTAAACAAGCTGTGCATATTTTTCAGAGGAGGGTGTGAGTATGGGGGAGTATGGCATTGTAAGGGAAGAGCAGTAAAAGATGGAGAGTGTGGGCTGAGCCATGGCAACCAATAAAAACCTTCCAAGCCCAGGTCCCAGCATAAAAGTTATGGGCCCCAACGTGCTCCATACTCAGCCCCTTTCTTTATGCTACACTTTATTTTTACTCGTTGCCAGCATTCGACACTCGTCATCTACTATCACAATGGAATTCGTCTCCTTGGTTACGCGTCATCCCTACGACAACGCCTCTTTGTAGCTTTGCCATCACCACGCGAAACAACTTGTTACCTTGACAATGACCCCTCCACTAAAAAACAATCGTAGTCGACTCATCTTACTGAAGGTCTTAGTGCTGATTCTACGCGGCGTGGCTAGTACAAAGGTAGCCAAAACGTCAATAGTTTGCAAACGTGCCGTCAACAAAACCAATCGGATCATCATCCAAAGGTACGTCTTGGCATGGTTTTATTGGTTACGCGTTACTCATCATCATCATCATCATCATCATCATCTCCAACAGGTACCCTCAGAGCACTCGCCTTTCAAGGATGCTGTTGCACTTGTGAATGTTTATCTAACGAGTTCCACGATAAGGATTGCACGTTGTTCGGTGCATGTCTTTGATGATGTTCCAGTATCAACTCATCTACACCTCGTATTCGGTTATCACATTGTCGAATGGTACCATTATGCACCAGGTTTACGTAAGTAATACGTGAATGGTTGGTAATCATTTGGGATAATGGCGTAAGTATGGATGATGGATCAATCGCACATCGTGCTGACAGAGGTTCAGGATTTTTGTATGTATTGGCTGGAAGCTCACGTATGCTGAAGGGATCATAATAGATATGGTAAGAGTTCTGCGGGCTATGATAGAGGCCTCCCCTTGCGACTGGTAGCTGGATGGGCTAGGATAGCTTTATGATTCATGAAAATAAAGGAGATCTGCGTACTTATTGTGAAGGATATAACGCGATTACTGGTATTAGTTCTGAGGGACATTGTAAGGATCATCATCCGTACTATCGTCGATGCTTAGTCACGTATTTCATCATTGTCTTTATTCTTGGCGTTGCTCTCATTCACCATAAACAAGCTATCATCGTTCTTGAATAAACCTGCATTCGGATTATCTTCTATCTTTATCCTCGGGACTTGTTTAGCCTTAGCTTTCGTGTCTTTCTCATTGGATCATTGTCTTTTCTTGTCACTTTAGATGACCTTGCACATACATTTTGTGATCGTGCACCTTTCTATTATCAACTCATTCTTGCTGCCCTTGTTCCTAGACTTGAAGCTTAATAGGGGTGCTTGTCTATCATTTATATGACATTAGCGTTCTTTTTTATTCATCCTCAAATGTATGCTTTAGTTGCAGGAAACGAGTGCACTCATTTATAAAACATCTTTCATTACATGCATAGTCAACATCCCTACTTGGATACATTGGTAGGATGATGATGAAAAGTAGTAAATCAGATTATCAGCTTAAGGATTCCAACGCACATGGCCGCCGGCTCGTGCAAGTACGTTGTTTTCTTTTCCCTTGAAAATGCTGAATCTGTTTCAATAACACATGTGTGCGTACACGGGTACCTTGGTATGGTGAACAGGGTAAAGAAGGCAAAGTTTGAATCATCATATCTTTGGATGCTGTGTAACCTCAGCAGATGTGTCATCTCACCCGATAAAATCGTACATACCTTAGCTCCATCCTGGATAAAAAGAGATGGGTATGTGGTTGAATGATTACTTTGAGTCTGAAGGTTGACCGTATCATCAATCCTCGTTTGTTTTCTTTTCATGCAGTAAAAGAATGGTGACACAAGGATGCAACACGTCGCACTGATATTGTAAAAGGCTGGTATAGTATGAATATCATCTCGTAGACCCAAGTTGAAACAGCAACATCCTGTGGTGTATCTCCCTCTGTTTATCTTCATTTCTAATCATGCTGGATGGATCCATTATATGAAGCAAGCCATCCGAGCGTCTTTATTGGATGGATTGCAAGGATGATGATGCATTCTGGCGGGTGTTCCCAAATTGTTAAGGCGCCCTTAAATTAGGCTGCGTACCTTTGTCTCCCTCTGTATTTCCATCCACTTCACCAACCCTCCCAGCAACAGCTTCTTCACTTATCTTAAAAAGCTATACGATTCAACACCCCATTGCCAACATTCCACGCATTCCTTCTTGTCAGCTTCCAACCATTTCGGCATCGATGGACCTCCATGCGCACAATGCGAAGCTCATGTCACAACACTCGCCACGTACAACACTTGGATGGTCATGTGGACTCAACGTCTCCAGTAGACAAGGTAACCAGTACAACGTTATCCATATTGGAAAGCAGGCTCTTACTGTTGTTGTTGTCAAGGATACGAAAACGCCACGCTGCAACACGCCAAGCTGGATGGCAAACATCTCTGCAGCAGATACATTGACTCTATCAGCAACCTCATTATGGGTACACTGTTTGCCAAACTTATGTATGAACGATCAACAACGTCAATGCCTGTTTGGTGCCATCAAGCGTTACTTCATCATCAGGTGATTCGCATTACGGACAGCCTTCTTGATTTATGTCTTGCGACATACAGCTCTTATCAGCGGATTGCTCTGTATCAGCAACAAGCACGAGTTGTTCATCTTTGCGTGGCATCATACGTATTCGGTTCCCGTATGACTTTGGCGATCAAGTACCATGCTGAATTTAAAAGTGGTTGGACATTCGCCTTTGTATGGATCCTTCTCCATAAAGTAAGTATGCATTGTTTGCTGATGCCAATATTATGCGTCTTCTTACGACATATGCCCTTTAGGTATTTTCGTTTTAACTCTTGGTGCCAACCTACTGCATCCTGTCAAGGTGGATCATCCGGAAAAGGTGTCACCAGGTTCTCGTACATTGTGCAATCATTGGTACACCAATCCGTCATTCTTTTGTAAGACACTTGCCAACCTCTTCTTTTGCAACGTATAGCTGTTTTATGGCTCAACTGGTACGCATGGCTATGGATATACAACGTACAGCTGGGTGATCAAGGAGCCTTACAATGGAGTATCATCAACACTTATTGAAGCGGATGGATATAGGGTTGCTTGCCACAACCAAGGTATTCGAGGTAAAGTGTTCATTCTGGGATTGGTTACATTCGAGTATCTTGGCAACCCCTTCGAAGGATGTTTATTGTGGTAATCGCTTATAGGTGGATCACATGAACAATCAGCAACAGGCGCTATTTCTTTTTCGGTGTCAGCAAGTTTATCCCATCATCTAGTGATCCATGTGATGAGGAACGTGATTCATGCCTTTATCTTCCGGGTCGCGACTCGTACGTGTGGATTACTCTCTATCGGCAACATGCATGTGGCGATCACCTTTGGTGTGGCATCACGTTCATTGGACTATCATGTGTCTTTGGCCATCAAGTACCAACAAGTCATTGGAGCTATTGCCAACGTTCGTCGATTTATCATTTCCTCAGTCTCCTGTAAGTGTGCTATCATCGTTGTTGCCGATACTCGTCACGCCTCTAACGTGTCTAGTATCAGGTATCCTCCTTCCCTTACAAAGCCGTGTGACAATGTAGCATGTCTTGCCAAGTGGACCATTGCAAAGGATTGGGAACGTGTCAATATGGATACGTTTGCAACCATATGCATATCATTGGTAAGCGATGAACCTTTCTTTTCTACGATGCCTACCAACATCATGTTTTATTATAGCACGTCGGCTATTCACCAACCTACGTATCTTCTTGTGCTTAGGATATTTCATGTATGTATGTAGATATCATTGCTATATAAGGTCTTATGGGCTTTGACGTTTGCTCACCATGAATCCGTTTTTAGGTACATCATGCGAGGATCAAGTACCAACGTCTACAGCATCTCTCTGTACACGCATATCGTATTACATGAGTTCATTTGGGTATCCCTTTGTATCGACATCTGCAGCAACAAACAACAGCGTTAATACCTTCCAGTTCAGACAAGCGTTATTTTCGTGTCGGCTTTTCTTTCGATCCATATCCTGCTAAGCACGCATGTGATCGATGGATCATATCAACATCAAGGAAGAGGCAATAATGGGCAATGGAAACAATATTGCCTGATGGCATCAACATTATTGGGCATCTGGTGGACTTCGTTATCAGGCAATTGCTTCAAGGCTATCCTACAGGTGCATTTGTGACGGGTGCATCATATCAGCAACAAGCGACAGTACATGTGCCTTTCGGTTCTATAAAGGGTTATCCAACGCCCAACAGCATTCGTCGTCAAGTAGCATTCCTTCCCCTGGAGGAAGTCTATCAGCATTTACCGTCGTATGGAAATCCCTGCAGGAAGAAACATGGATTTGGTTGACGAGCGGTATCACACATTACAGGTTCCCAAATGGATTTGGGTAAATATTGCTTCTATTACGTTAAAGATAAATTACTTACATGTTCGATCATAGGTCGATCATTCGATCAGGCTTCGTTTTCAGTACTCTTTGGTATCATGAAAGTCTATTTGGTTTCCCTACAGTTGTCATACTGGGCGCTATTGTTGTGAAGAAGGAAGGTCTCTATTTGGCTTTAAAGGGGTTTCTCGTAAGCAGCAAGTCGATCGTCGTATGGTGTGGTCCTCAAGTACCGTTTTGGTTATCTGGAAATCAGCTACCTGCAGCTTGTCTCTTTTATTGGCAGATTTTCATAGCAACGTTTATTATTGGTTCCATGGCGCATATCAAATTGCAATTGCTTGAGCGGATATACTTGGGCATTCTCCCAGCAAGCCCCTTCTCTGATTTGTGCTATTCATGGATCTCTGATGACGCCAACGCAAGAAGGTTACTCGTCTGTTACTCGATGGCAGCAATTAGTAATATGATGGATATCGTTTTGCTATGGGTGTAACGGGATGGCACCTTGCTTTTCTATTAAAGTACCGTTTGAAGCAATGATTTACGTGAGGCAGTATGGTCAGCTCTATTTTGGCCCTATCAATTGCATTTGAGGACTAATGCATTAGCCATTGGAGGTTATGACGTTCGCCAGTGATGCTGTAGTAGGCATGGGGTGGGATCATGTATTGTTCGTTGCTGTTATGGGTCGGCCTTTGTGCGCATGTAATGCTATGGTGTCTTTTTACCAGAATGGGCATGCTGGCTAAGGGTGGTATCTATAGATGATGAAGTTGTTTATAACATGGGATTGCTAGGAGTCATGTTATATACAGCTTGTCAAAAAGGTATGTTGGGCAATGGAGTAGCTGGGCACGGATCATCTTGCATGAGTACGATGAGTGAGTTTATTCCATTGTTAAAATGCAGATGCTCTCTCTCTCTCTCACATGTCTAATGCCCTTACATTCCTTCAACTGCATTTGTTTTACTAGGCAACGAGATCCTCAACGGCGCCTTCGATAACTTGTTCTCACCGGATAAAGGCTGTACATGACACTATTAGCACTCATTCTTTACGCGCAACGAACATGGAAGGAAGTTAAGGCTGGAGTTTTTGCAAGCTTGGTGATGATGGGCAACCAATTTTCAGAGGCCTCTTTTTACTTTCATACTGCAGCATGATGATCATCGTTATCTTCTCCATGACAAACATCCCATGCACAACGTGCCAACCCTCCACCACCACTCCATGCATCTACGACACGCATCATTATCCAACAACACGCAATGAAGAACACGTTTTATGGGTCACTCGTTCATGAAGCGCAAAAGAGAATAGATGGATGTATTGAACAATAAATGATCATTCCATTAGAGGATACCACATTATATAAGAACTAGATTGGGGTTATTTGCTTTTGAATAAAAGACAAGCTTTATTATGAAAACGAAAATGACTACTTGTGCCAATGCTTAGCCCATCTCCATGGAGATGGTTTCCAGGTGTGACCACGTGGAGGTGATTGGCAACCCACACCCTAGTTTTTTGTCATTGCGGACTCTTCCTCAGGTTTGGCTGGGTCGAGTTGATTGGGGTACTAGTGTAAAGTGTTTCCGTGTTTCGTGACCTTGCAGTTTCGTAACCCTTTCGATTCGTGGGTGTCTTGCTGGTTTCGTGAGTATCCCGAATCCCCTCCCCCAGCTAACCTGGATACCGTGTTTCGTGACGCTTGTTTATAGGACCTAGCGAGCCATACTTGCGGTCTTGTCCGGGAATCCTAGAGTGAAAGAGAGATACTTTGGAGTTGGGGGAAAAGGGCTTCCTTTTTATACGAAAGTGGGTTGCCACAGCACCTTAGACGCGTAAGCGTTTGTGTTACACGAAACTTGGCCAACTTGCTAAAATCTTCGCATCCCATTTACTCAAAACCTTTCAATTCAACATGCTTTTTGCTCTTAGAAAAACGTGTTCCTCTCATCGAGACCATTCGAATGGTGTATTGTTTGCCATGATTTTGTTTACTTTCATCATTTTGGACATTGCCATGGACACGTAGTACAATTTCCTTTTTGGGGTCACGGTTTCAGATCTCGGGCCGAGCTCTTTCGAACCACTGCCACAGGGCATAACTCGTTGGTTTTCAGGTAAGCCTCGTTTGTGGTAATAGAAAAATGTGTTCGTCTCGATGATACGAGCATAACGGTATGCTATTCGTATGATAGACTTTTATATCCTGAATAGCTGAAACAGAGCCGTGCGTCAGCACATATTAAAGTCACTACCTTTCAACCTATACGAATAGGATACCGTTATGCTCGTCTTATCGCGATGATCACGTTTTTCTATTACCACAAATGAGGTTGACTTGAAAATCAACGCGCTATGGCCTGTAGCAGTGGTTCCAAAGTCCTCGGCCCGAGCTGTGCGGCCTCAATCCAAAAAGGAAATTGTACTACGTGACCTTGGCAATGTTCAAATTCACAAAAGTAAACAAATCCATCGCAAACAATATACCGTTGGAATCGTCTCGATGAGAGCAACACGCTTTTCTAATAGCAAAAAGCAGGTTGAATTGAAAGGTTTTGAGTAAATGGGATACGAAGGTTATCGAAAAAGAAGGAAAGTGTGTAAGGTTTCGGGTGACACGAAGGTTCCGCGGCACCCACTTTCCTATAAAAAAGAAGCCATTTTTCCCCAACTCCAAAGTATCTTTCTTTCCACTCCTCCGACGGTCTTTAAAGGTAAGTTTCTTTTGCACAGGTAGGTGAATGGGTGGTGAAGAAGAGGGGATAAAGAGGACTATTGGGGTACAGTATGTGGATGGGTGGTGAAGAAGAGGGGATAAAGAGGACTATTGGGGTATGTGCATGGGAGGTGAAGAAAAAAGAAGAGGGGATAAAGAGGTATGTGTATTGAGATGTATGTGTATGTGTGTGTGTGTGTGTAGATGATAAAAAACGAATAACAAACAAAGTCTGTGAGATTGCTGTTTACTCTGAAAATGTGTGTCTGGGAAAAAGAGACGTCTTTCTATCGATCTACCTCTGAGTACTATAACTAGGCGGATGCTAAAGAGTAAAGCTTTTCTACCAATAACAAGCTATATCGTAAATGAGTAACGGGCTGAGTTGTATATGATGATCCACGCTTGTGTATCATCTCTTGTATGCTTATGTGCTTGTCTTTTGTATATACAATGATAAAGATGATGATAATGAATACATGATGTGTACCTTAACCGATCCATATACACGACAT